TTATCGTACGAAGCTGACAGTAACACGCCGTCAAAAAAGAAAATGTTGACAGGAACAGGTGAGGAGGGATCGGGGTCTAGGTGAATAGAGGCGCTAGAAATCCCGGCCCAAATCCTGTTCCAGCATCCCAACAGGCCTCCAGAAGGAAAACATGCATTCAGGTTTCAGATGGACTTGGACAAGCCACACAGCCCACAGGGTTTGGCCCTGGACTGAACATGGAGCACTTCTTTTCTCTCGGTTACAAAGAACTGCACAGACATCTTGGTAGCCCACTAGCATCCCAACTACTGTTTCATAAAATGTAGATAGACCGGACATCGCACTTCATGTTTGGGTTCACACAGCAGGCAGGGAGCATTTCGCTGCTCCTATGACTTGACCTGCTTGATCCTGAAAGTGCCGTGTGTGTCTAGCAGAATGCTTTATTAGCAACTGCAATGTAATGATCCGTTTCCTGTCTACGGAGTACGTTCACTGCATGGGCCATGCTGTCCAAAATAAGTATAAAACTGAGGCCACTGACTACGCTGAATCTGTCTTTGCACTGGCAGAGAATGGCAGTGCACGACCTGAAAACGTGTCACCTGCCCCTGAATGTCTTTGGCGATCCCTGCATCATCAAGTCACAAGTCATCACACAAACAGGAGGTATCAGATAATCGGTAGATGCAGCAACTAGTTTGGATTCGTAGTGTACTAGTTTGGGCTCTCAAGAGAGAAACCAATAATAACCTGCAAAATTCTGGCAATCAGATAAGAATTCAAGCCGTGGCCTAGTTCGTGGTACTCCTTTGTACTATAGGATTAGCGAGGACAGGTGAGCAGAGACCCTGCTTGCAACTCCTGAGATTACCCTGGGTGGCTTGTTCGTCGGCTGCAGTTAGTACTCAGTACTACCAACAAAGCAAATTGACATGCGACTTCCCTGAACAACCTGGGCTGGACAATTGCATGGCTTCCAAGGAAACTTATGCTTGGAGACTTGGAACCTGCCTGAGTGTCTGTCTGTACCCAAAGACGACCACCAGTTGCTGAACGATGACAGGAACAATGCAGATGAGATCTAAATCAGGATGAATCGGACGCCAACGCTAAGCAGTGCGAGTGTGAGGTGGTTATCTGCTGCCCCGCCATCGTCGTCAGGGACGGACTTAAGCACTGTTGCGCTTGACCTCCCTCTTGATCCCACGACGACGTTCGACGCCATCGGATGGCACTCGGCACGGGCGCACCGCGCACGGCACGGCACGGCAGTCTCCACTCCACTCAAATGGACACTAGGGCCGCGTTTAGTTCGGCCACCGAATCGGCGCCGCCGGATTTGGCGCGCACTGTAGCTACTGTAGCGTTTTGTTTTTATTTAGTAATAATTGTTCAATCGTTGACTAATTAGGCTTAAAATGTTCGTCTCGTAAAATACAACTAAACTGTGCAATTAATTTTTGATTTCGTCAACATATAATACTCCATGACGTATCCATAAATTTAATGTGATGGGGAATCTTCTTTTTACGTAGTGCCAAAATCTGAAATTTTTGGTAACTAAACGTGGCCTAGGAAGGCCGGCCGTTGCCCGCATTGGCAGGACCGCAGGAGCGTACACGATCTGGACTGGACTGACGCCTGAGCCTGACGGCGGCCAAGGCTGCGACAAAGGCTCTGCTCCTGCGTTTGATGGGCTCAGTTGATCGTTGTCGCATGCATGCGCCTGACGGCCTGAGACCAACAAGATGAGCAGGACGGGCCATGCCACACTGACGCGATAAGGAACCAGGTGCAATGGCGCCACGCTTGTGGCATGTGCCGCCGCACTACATGGCTTACACATACACAGTAACCGTCCTACTCAGGGCCTGGCACGGTGAGTTTTTTTTTTCTAAACACTTATTTCCAAAACATCCTTCCCTCACGAAGACATGAATTGAGATGAAACTGAAAATAGTAGCTTGTCCCAACTTTCCCTAATACATGTGGGGTCCAACCTAGAAAAAAAAGACTACTTTTGCCCCACTGCAGAGAGAGAGAGAAAGCAGATGCCGGTGCAGGGTAGGGCGCGGCCACTAGGGCCCGACGGGGGCGTAGCCGGGCGCCAGACACGGGTGCCGGTGAACAGTGTTTCTTGGATTGTTTTGGATGATTGAATAGTATTCTATGAGAGAATAAAAGTTTTGAAAAAATCGGTATTTTCATGCGCGCAGCGCCGCCGACGGACCGAAGGATGTGGATGCTGCCGGTTGCGCATGAAAAGTCACGGACGCCGGAGCATAGTGCAGTGCCGCCACCACGCGAGTCTGAGTCTTGGTGCCGCTTCTGCCAGAGGCGTCGAGGTAGGCGCGGTCGGTCGGGTGGCCCCAATGGATAAGGAAGAAGAGGGGTAGCCCAAACAGATAAGGAAGAAGAAGAGGGGTATTATAGTCATGTGTTTCTTTGTAGCTATCATGTGAATCTAATTTGCAAAACAAGTGTTTAAAACAGCTTTGGTTTCACCAAAAACTGCTCATAGAGCTAAAATCTAAAAAAAACAGCTTTACCAGTGAAGGTGAGCTGTGCCAAACGGAGCCTCAATTTTTGTCATGTTTGCTTCGTTGATAAGCCAAACTCAAAAATACTATCGCTAATTTATCGTAAGAGAAAATATTATATCATAACTGATAAGCCAATCACGTAAGTTCAAGCGAACAGAGCATTCGTCCATGTCAAGTTGGGCAACATTCACGACACGCGGCTGATGCTAGTAAATGAAAGTTGTCACGCTCGGACGGCCCTCTGGCCGCCCTCGGCCCTCATCAATGCGCGGGCCGCGGGCGTTCTCCTGTCCCACCCGGCTGGCCGGCGTCCCCGGTCCCTCGTGACAGGGCAGCTGTGCCGATCAGGCGATCACCACCGCTCAACTATAAACCGTGCGCATCCGCCGACCTAGACGTGCGCGTGCCGCTCCTGGCGGCAGCGTGCCGGCTCGTGGTCAGCAAGGGTACGCGTCAGGCAGCCTGTATCGTCCGTGTCCTGGTATTGGGATCGATCTTGGACTGCCCTGAGTGGGTTAGCTGCGGTGCACGTACGCCGGCAGCCCGGCACCGATCGAGGTCGAGTTACCCGCTGACACGATCCATTCATGGTGTGCGGGCCGTGCGTACCGCTTACGTAAGCACTAGTATACGTGATATTAAAGCTTCCTGGTGTGGTGTGGTTAATGGCGCTCTTGCACGCCTTTGCGGGCTTCTGGCGTACAACAATAGTAGCTTGCAGCGTACTGTTACTCTCCGTGAACCTAACTTATCCATCGTAATACAGTGCTTTTCTCGCACAATAAATCAACGTCCTGGCTTTTCAGCGAAAAGAAGAGGGCAAATGTTACGGAGATAGCGAGGGGGTGTTCAGCTGGCCACTGCCGTTGGCTAATTGCGCCCTTGCTTGCTTGCCACGATATCACACGCTAAATCTCGAGAATGGTTCGGTGGCGCCATGCTGGTTTGCCTCTACGATTGTGTTTTTGCAAAATATGCCTTCGTGTGTGTCTATATATATATATATATATATATATATATATATATATATATATATATATATATATATATATATATATATATATATATATATATATATATAAGAAACACGTAGTCATGCGAACTCACGGCAGCATCTCTGTATCTGTAAGTTGTAACATACATTCTGAAAATCCCTTGGCAGCGTGTAGAGCATGTTCTTGAAAAAACAAAAAGAAAAGAAATCGTTGGCAGGCAGCCATTGACGAAAGAAAACTACAATATGCACAGCAAAAGTAGAAGGCCCTAGATAATTAGCGCATCATGTTGAGCATATTTGACTATTAGCACCACCTAATAATTAAGTAACAGACGCTCGTCAGAGCTTGCTGGCTGTTGCGCCCGGATCATTTGACACCGCCCGCCACACCGGTAAAGAATCGCTCGCGTTCTGGGACGGTGACCAACCTTCAACATCCCCATCTGCCGACTGCGATCCATCCTTGACCAGAGTCCAGAGTGGTGGGTTGATGGGTTCCTTGCTGTTGCTGCCATGGATAGCGACTGACATGTGGGACCGAAGCCAAAATCGCCTGCCCACCTGTCAGCGTGTGACCCAAACCCCCAAGGACACCTGGCCTGGACTTGGCCTTCGTCCGTTCAAACGACGCCACCGACGTGCAGGCCTTTTGCCACTACCACTAACAGTAACCAGTAAGGGCCTGTTTAGCTGGCAAATTTTTTTGATTTTGGGTACTGTAGTACTTTCGTTTGTATTTGATAATTAATGTCTAATTATGGACTAATTATGTTCGAAAGTTTCGTCTCGCGATTTCTCACCCAACTGTGTAATTAGTTTTTTTTTTCGCTACATTTAATACTCCGTGCATGTGCCGTAAGATTCGATGTGATGAATACTACGCAAAATTTTTTGGGTTTTGGGTGGAACTAAACAGGCCCTAAGGTACGAATCAAACTCACTGACCACTGGGATCAGGCGTTTATTGGGCCCACATGTGATAAAAAAAACAATCACCAGCGTCCAATACTTACCGCCCCGCGATTCGAAAAAACAAACGGAGGAAAGAGAAGACTCGAGAGAAAAAAAAAAGGTGAACAAAGCACACGCATCCATCCCTGCCCGTCTCCCGTCGCAGTCGCCCTCCTCTTTCGTCTGCGGTCTCAAAGCCGCGCACACGCGCCGCGAGCGAGGGCCAGGAGGGCACGGAAGTGGGAGCCCGCGGCTTCTTGTCGGCGCGGGGCGGGGGCTGAAGCGAGCCACTCCCCTTCCGCCGATTCGACTTCCTCAGGTCCCGGGCGGTCTCCGGCGGCCGCCCCGACGGATCCTCTCTCGCCCAATCGCCCGGGTGAGTTACCGGACAGTAACGGGAACCGCCCGCTGAGTTCTACCGTTCGCGCGTGAGTTTACAAAGTGGTGGTTTTATTATTTTTTTATTAACCCTTTTGCAGTTGCGGGAGTGATCTAGTGGTTTTTGTTCCGCGGCGGGGGTCGAGATGGAGGACTTGCTGAACACGGAGATAGGGAAGAACGACTATGACTGGTGATTGAATGATTCCTCTCGTTTTGTGGCGATGTGATTTCCTAATTTGGGCATGGTTTAGCGCTGCGTGCAATTGGTTAATCAATTGAATAGTTACTCTGAACTTAGTGGAAAATGGCTGGCAATGTGGTGCTCTCAAACAGTCTCGAGAGTTGGCTTGGTCCCTCCAGGACTAGTTTGTACTGATTGTACTTGTTTTCTTCAGGGGTTTTGCTGCCCAAATCATGTTTGGGGTTTTGGGGAGTAATGGTTGCTATTGCTTGTGGGCATTATTGGACAAGGTTGGCCTGCCTGGTAGGGACCTTGTTTGGATTAGCTGCAGAGTTTTAGTTGTGCTGAGACCAGAGAGAATCCTGCAACTTGATGGGTAGTATATGTGGGCTCCTTCTAGAATAGCAAATACATGGACATTATGTACATATACTATTTCTTAGCAAGGGGAAATAATCAAATAAAAAGAATAAATGGCTATTCCTATTTCAGAATGTCTTCAGTCATCTCACATCAGGGTGACTCTATTGTTGTTTAAGTGAAACACTTTGCCCATATAACTATGAACTTCCGAAGGTACACCGATCAAATTTATGGGTTGACTTATTGTTACGACACAAGTTTTGTTGAAATATTTACTGCTTTCATGCAACCATCCAACCATTTCGATTTCCCTTATTTAATATGGTAGCTTCACCGGTTTTAGAAAGCGTTATAGCGATAATGAGCTGAAGCCATGGGTGAACGCTGTTCTGTGGTAGTTTGCTGATGAGGTTGGCTTGTGGCAGTTGTCAGGGTTAATAGCGTTAGACACTTTGCTAGCATGAGGTCCTTTCTTGGTCGTAGTCTTAACTTTTTCCATGGCTTATGATGCAAATAGACTAATGTATGCTGTATAACGGCTTGTAACTGAATAATTTTTGCTTATCCTGATATACTGATCCACATCTCATGCATATTTGCCAAAAAGAAACTTCCAAATAATGAGGCAAGATAATCATCTAGTTACAACAATGTTGATTTCGATGCCATTTTTCATGGATTGTTGTGTTGTTGGCTTGTTGCCTTGCTAGTCAAGATGTAGGAGTTGACTTCCATCTGTGCTTGAACCTCATCATTTGTCATCTAAAGATTTCTGATATTTGCTGTGCAGGATCATGTGTCATGTGTGCACAATTGACTACATATCTTGTCCTGATCTTATCTAACATCTGTAATGCATTCCTCAGGCTTCTGACACCCCCTGGAACTCCCCGTGTTCCTGCATTAGATGCTGCTGAGAAAGCCCCATCCTCAACTGTGACTAAACGTACTGTTGCCAGATCATCCTCGACAACTAGAGCATCTAGGGTCGGTAAAAGTTTCTATTATTGAATGCTGTATGTTTTTACATGCAAAATGTTTCTTGATTCTTTGTATATGCAGCGTCACGATATTTTGTGAAGACTATATATGTTTTATGTCTCGTTATCAGTGGCATCTGAATTTTCTCAGGCCATATTGATGATTTACGTACATAAGGAATAACAAAGTACTGCTGCATTCAAGTTGCATGCATCAAATTAACCTGTGGTTCATCTATTGGTCTATATATATGTTTGTCACATACTTGCAAGTTGCAACGATCATTTATCCATGCTTTGTGGAATCTACAACTGCAAAGATAGGAAATTCAACCACCGATTTCATAGTTTATAGTAAATTCAATAGTAATTTGTGCCTAGCTTCAAGAAGTTGCTAGAATCATTTTTATCTTCTTGACTAGTGGAATCATTTTGAAAATATACTATCATGTAGTTTTGAGATGGCGAACTTGATAATGATACCTTCTTCAGTCTAACTGTGGGATCATACTCAGCTAACTTGCTCTCTGCTGCTCATATCGTGGTGGATCATGATCGTAGTTAACATAGCTGTATGATATGTTTGTTGCAGCTTTCCACTTCTGAGACAGAGAATGGGCATTCGACATTTCCCACTAGGCCAGCACGAAGTATATCTGTCTCCCGCCGGGCAGTTCAATCTACACCAATGTCTAGCAACAGCAGGTCATCAGTCCTCAATGCTAACATTTCCTCTGTTAGTTCAAGACCTACAACCCCAAGCAAGCGGACTGCCACTCTTATTGCATCAAAGCCATCTGTTCCATTGTCACGTCCAGTGCCAACACGGTCCTCTACACCTGTCAAAGCCCGTCTGTCTACACCAACTAATACTCGTCCGTCTACTCCAGTGAAAAATCGTCCTTCCGTGTCCAACTCTATGACCAACTGTGTTGTTCCCAAGAACACATCAGCACAAAGCTCAAGATCATCAACTCCAACCTCTCGGTCTCGAACCTTGTCCAGTTCATCTTCAAGCAGTACAAGTGCAGTGAGCCGTCCCAGCTCATCCTCTGGTAAAGTTCCTGCAATAACTCGTACCAGTTCTTCGTCAAGTACAGTTCCTTCAGTGAGCCGTTCTAGCTCTCGGTCATCCACACCCACTCGTCAGCCTGCCATGCGTTCATCAACACCATCTGCTGGGCTGATTTCTGGCAGCAATAACATGACATCTAATGGCAGACCCTTGGCCAGCAGTGGTCGGAGTTCAGCACCTTCGTCAGCGCCATCATCTCGTCCAAGTTCCCCAAATACACGGACACGAGCTCCAGTTCGCCCACTAGATATTCCAGATTTTCCAAGTGAAACTCCACCGAACTTAAGGACTAAACTGCCAGAACGACCACTCTCTACTGGTAGAGTACGGACAGGTATTACTTCGGGTGTCAGGTCAACCCCAAATGCTGAACCAGTTCTCTCAGCTCCTGTAAAAAAGATGTCTGTGCCTGCTATCACTCGGAGTAAGTTCTCAGATATGCAATCAAAGACATCTCTTACCAATGGTCACCAAAGTAGGCCGAGCGAAAGATCTCTTTTGGAAGGTCAAACAACTAGAACCTCACGGTCTGTCACAGCTGCAGATAATGGATTCGGTAGGACAATATCGAGGAAGTCACTTGACATGGCTATCAGGCACATGGTATGTTCACCCCTCATATTTACATTGAATTGAACAAGGTCTTATGCTTTTCTACCTCTCTGATAGGGCCATCACATTCTGATAGTTTTTTTTTTCCCAAGAAAAAGATATAAGAGTTTCTGCCATTTTTGTCTGAAAAAGAGAGTTGGTTTCATCTGCATGCAGGAAAGATTACAACAGCTGTCATGTTGCTGTATGAAAGTAATTTCATAGCTGTGAACTTAAAATACTCCCTCCCTCCTTTTATATTTGACGTTAGTTAGATGGGGGAGGGAGTAGTAAACTTGAGTGTTTTAAATAATCTGGTATGTTTAGAAGAATCTAGAGTCCCGCTTAGTTTTTTTTTTTTTGGGAGAACACAAATAGGTGAGTTTCACCTCTTGGATCTCTAGTTGGCAATCTCTCTTGTTATTTCAATTTTCATATGTTTGTGCTCTTTTCGGTGGGTTACTTGTGATTTTATCATTACCATATGTTTACGTTCTGAGAAGAAAGTAAGAAACTAAATGACTTATTTATCATAGGACATTCGACAAAATTTGGGTGGCATCCGTGGTACATCTCTATTTCCTCATAGCATTCGATCTACTACTACCAAGGGGCGACCAGCTCGAGCCTCAGATCCAGGCCATTCCGTCTCAAATGGTGACCGATACTTCACAGATAATGGCAGCAGCAATGGGCACTTCTCTGGAGATTCTAGTGGTGCTCTTTCACATAATGGCGGGAGCTCAATTGGTTCCCCTGATAGGGAAACCTTTGGAACAAAAGAGGTTCTGAGTGAACTGGATGCCAATTCACGATACGAGGCAATGTTGCTGAAGGAGGACACCAAGAACATGAGTTGGTTGCACAGCGTGGATGACAAGTCTGACCAGAGCCCAGTGTTTGATCATAGGTTCGAGCCGCTCCCTGAGCCATTTGGTCCGCTATGAACTCTTTATACTATGCATAAAGATTCCACTCATTGTTTTGTTCGTCACTTGCCATTAAGTTGAAGGTTTTATGCTGCTCTCTCTTTTCTGTTTGATCGCCCACCTCCCCCATCTTTTTATAGATCTGCTAGAACAGATAAAGATCGTGGGGTTTGTACTTTAATAGCTGGAGTCTCGATTTCGAGTGACTTGTGCTGGAAATCCAATGTCGGGAATAACATATGTACTCAATTCCCATCCTTGGCTATCATTTTGATTATGTTTTAAGTTTCAACTGTTTACCGTTGGATGATGTGGATCGTAAAACCACTTTGTTCCCAGTTCCCATGCGTTGTTTTCTAATTTGAACTGAACCCGGTCGTGTTACACAAACATGTTCGAGTTTAAAGCCGAGCTGACATGCCTGTCTGGGACAACCTCTGCTGGAAATCGAGTGAACTCGACAGGCGGTCCCTATGCAATTCAAGTGGAATCTTGTGCAGCCGGTTGACCGAATTGTCATAGTGGCTCAACCACTCCGAAGAACAATCATTCTAGGTGAAATAGCCTGAGCTAGAGCAGGTACCCGAATTTGTAGTTCTTTTATTTGCCCTAGGTAAAGTTTCGCCACGAGGCTCTTCTCATTGAAGCTAGAGCAGGTACCCGAACAGCGTTAAAATCCAATCGTTCTTTTTCATCTTCTTAATATTCTTCTCCTATGAGTATGCTCCAGCGTGTACTAAAATTTCTGTTTTTGGCTTTGCGTGTCTATCTATCCGCATCCAGGCTGCTGAAAAGACAGGGGAGCGGCGAAGTTGGATGGGAACATAAATTGTTTTTTTGATCCGTACATGCTACTGCCAAAATTGATTGTAATAGAGTTATCGCCCTGTTTGCTTGGGCTTGTTTGGCTTATAAGTCGTACTTTTTCAGCAAACGAATATTATTTTCTCTCACAACAAATCAGCCAGCAGTACTTTCAGCCATTGTAAATGTAGATGTAGCCATGCATGGTACTGTGGATCTGTAGGATATACATAAATTTAAACCACCAATTGGACGGACCACGAGATGCATCCATTCCGTTGTCATGTGTTAGAGCATGAATGACCTGTCGCTTTCTCTTGTTTAGCAGTGAAACGTCCTGGAGTAGTCTGAACTCTGAAGATCCAGTAATTCAGATACGTCACAAACACAGAAATTGTTAAACACAGTCAACCAGCCGCGGTCCTTCATCCTTCATTTCAAATTTTCGTATTGATTTGTGACCGGCATTTTGCAGCACAAGTTTCTCTTCATCTTTTCAGGCCGTTGGAACTTGGATGCTTTGCCTGAAGTAGTGGAGTGGGTTGTTGATCTAGGACGTTGGCCATAAAAATTTGTGTTGCGTTGCTCTCACGGTCCACCAACTGCACCTACAAATGGTATCCGTTGACAGGAAATTAATCAATGTGCCGGAGTACCTTCCATTCATGCTGTAATAATACTGCCCCCCCTGCTCGCTGCAGCTCCACAGCTGTAGAGTATTATCGCGTATGCAGTACAGCAGTAGCTTGACTGATCCTTGGTCCTCTAGGGGCATGTTTGGTATTGGTAGGCGCCATGCCGCAGTTGCGGCCACGCCGAAGACGTGGTGGACGAATGGTCCGCCAAATACTTGGCAGTTGGCTACATCACGGGGATGCCTACATCAAAATTTATGTGCTCTCTATAATGGACCTTTGGAGATAGGTGTCCACATTTGCTTGCATTGTGCCTAATCTCTTTGATTTGAGCAATATATGACAGCTAAATAACTTCGAATCCATAGTTGATTGGTGGGAGGAGGCACAACGACGCATTCCAGAGGCTCAATCCAAAAGAAAATCTATGGAGCTATGACCACTTCATGACTTTTACAATGAACCAAATAGACGCTGAAGCTATGGCGCATTGTAGCAAGCTGTGTAGTGAACCAAATGCACTTAAATGTGACATTTTAAAGTTTGTTTAAAGTTAAACTATCTCAAGTTTGATCAAATTTATAGAGAAAAGTATTATTATTTACGACACTAAATATGTATACTATGAAAGTATATTTCATGATGAAACTAATAATACTTATTTGTTATCATAAGTTTTGATAAACTTTTAATATTAGCTTGGCCAACCTTAAGATAGTCTGACTTTAGATAAAGTTAAAATGACATTCTTTAATAGTATGACTTTAGATAAAGTTAAAATAACATTGTTTATGGGACGGAAGTAGTAATAAGGAGAATGAAACAAATATCACTCTATCATATTCTTCCAAGAGATTTAGCTTTTTTTGTACTCCCTCCATCCTAAATCTTGCTTTTCATCCAAGGCCCCGGCTAAAAAGGATCATATACCTCTGAGCTTATATTCTCAAGTTAAATCTTTTAAAGAAAACTTCTCCATTCATCCTAAAATAACTATAAATTTCACTTTTGAGGAGTCAATCAACTTAAAAAATATTCTGAATTTCAAAAAACAAGATGTATAGTTATTTTGGGAATATTCCCTCCGCTCTTTTATACATGTCATATTATGTTTATGCTAAGCCAAATATTTCTAACTCTGATCATCATTTAAAAAAAATGTATAGGTTAACAACATAAGATTTATGTTTTTAGATTAACTATGATAAATACTTTATAATATATAGTTCACATGTTGCGAAACTAAATGGATTTTTTAGAAATTGATGGTCAAAGTTAGAAAAGATTGGCTTATGATAAACCTAATATGATATGTAAAAAACAGAGGGAGTATTCCCAAATTTTTTCGAAAGTCAAAATATTTTCTAAAGTTTGACTCCTCAAAGTGAGATTTGCAGTTATTTTAGGATGGAGTAATTTTCTTTCAAGGATTTAACTTGAGAATCTAAATTCAGAGGTATGTAATCCTTTCTTAGAAAGAATATTATTCCTGTGTTATTTGCTAAAAAAAAGAAATAGTGTAGACACTGGACTTTGCTTCTTAATTATATCTGGTAAACATAGGTTAGATCATAGATAATGGATGCCCTTTTGGTTGATCAAATGAGGAAACCAGGGCAGCATAAGGTTGTTGAAGTCAATGAGCCAGACAGCCATAGAGGCCACGCCAGCGCATCTCTCCTGCAGACTGCGGCTCCGGCAGTCGCCGACGACGGCCGGTCCACCCGTAGGGGCAAATCCGTCACTCACTAATTCCCAAGACCAAACACCTAACACGCTTCTCATAGATGCACACCAAATGTGTACTCAACACAGCACTAAGGGAACCGCAGGCGGCATCACACAGCCCTTGTTTCGTTCCCACCCAAAAATTTTACATCATATCATATTAAATATTTAATATATATATAAAGTATTAAATATAAATTAAAAAATAATTAATTATATAATTTAAGACTAATTTAATAGAAGAATCTTTTACGTCTAATTAATTTATAATTTAACAAAATGCTATCGTCACACATATGTTAATAATAAATTAATTCGGCTAAATAAATTTATCTCGTAATTTACTGATTTGTTTTTTTTTATTAGTACGTAAACTTCCTATAGGATACTCACCTAACATTCGATGTGACACTCGTGATTCACACTCCAGTACAGCTCACTGCGCCCTGCCCCGCGTCCGCTCCACCACGCCCACGCCCCACACACCCCGACACTCCGGACAGAGGGGGCGCAGGCACGAGAACAGCTCAGTCGCGGCGAGCTCCCGGGTCTCCAGCGAAAGAGCCGGAGGCGAGAGTGGCGGCTGGCGCGGGCTCCCTCCGAGGCTCTACGCGGTGCCTCGGCGCAATGCTGGCCTTCCCCGGGGGCAGATCGGCCTGAGTCGCCGTCGCGGCTCTCGAATCGGCGTCTTCCTCGCATGGTTCTGGCCAGAGCTTGGATCTTGCGGCGGAAGACGCGAGAAGGGAGTGCGGGAGCGTGCCGTTTCTTGGTTTTCTGCTCGCCAAAGGTTTGGGACCTTCTTCTCTGTTCTTGAGGCAGCGGTTTTCTTTTCTGCACTCGTTTCTTTCGGGGCCTGAGAATTGGGATTTCGGCTGGATTCAGCGCCGCTCCCCATTTTTGGTAGATAATTTAGCAAGGGATGTATGGATTATTGTAGGTTACTGCAATGCAGTTTGTTGTGTTCGCTCCTTTTGCACAAGCACAGTTCGGAATCTGATAAAATGCGAGCATGGTTTGCTGCGCTCAATTTTTCTTCAGGAGAGGACAAGTTGACGTTTTTTTTAAAATTCCTGAAGAGTTAGGTAATTTGAATCTTCCATTAATCAAAGAACCACTTGATCCGATCGAAAAAAAAACCCTCTGGACCAGTTCTTGGTACTACTCTCTGGAGTCATTGTTTCTTTGCCTTTTCTAGATGTGTTAGCAGTTCCTTTTTTCATATGGAAAAGGATTTATGCTATTCTTGTGTAAATGTTGTTTGTGTGGTTGAGACAGTCATATCTTCACTTTACTGGGTTTACAATCGGTTGCGCGGTGAGATGGATTCGTGTAGGACCGTGCCAGCCTATAGCCCATCCAGCCCATGAGAACAACGGCATTAATTCACCTCAGCCCCCACCAAAGTTCCAAAGCTCTCGTCTTTTCTCATGCCCCCCTTTGATTTCTTGCATTGCATCGGAGAGCTTTAGCTTTTATGTGCTAGCCTTTAGTATCTGTGCTGTGCCATCACTTTTGTTAAGCATTTGGTTCTTCAGAACGTAACGGCATGACTGCTGCGTCAGGCGTATATGGAAGGTTAGGTGAGGTGTAACCTGTAATGCAGTACTGTATGCTGGTACATGAGGGAGACCACCTCCAAGTAAAGGAATCTAGCAGTTTTCCCTTTGGGAGACTTTGGCAAAACAGTTCTTGGTATTATCTGCTATTGTTTTCTTATGATGATGGTTAGTTAGTCCTAATTCCAATGCTTGGAGGACAGTTTTTAGTGAGCAACTTTTAAAGTTAATATGTTAAGATAATGAGTTATGTGCTTTATTAAAAGGTGGCTCGTGACTGATGAATGATGGCTACTTTCTGATGTGATATGGGTGGTTGGCTTTTGTCATATCATATGCTCCTGATCCCAACCCCAACTGCCCCGTTAAAAATAGGAAGATAAACTATGGCAGGTCAGTTTGATGGTTGTCTTAGGTTGAGACTAGAGGAAAAGACAATGAGGGTCATGCGTGTTTCCTTTTGGAGAGGCGCTTACTACTGGCAGTTGAGAAATATGAAACGCCCTGCATTTGACCATGGTAGCTCCAGTTGCCAAAGTGAATTATTCTGGGTTATGCAAAGTCATAGTGTAGGTAGGTACAGCTTGAATGGCTGCCAATGCCACCCTGAAACTCCCGAATAATTTTTCATGTTGTATAAGGTACATTGTTTCTTGTTTAGTGTTCTAACTAATGCAGTAATTTTTTTTTTGTAGTTTTAGGGTGTCACAATTCTGTTTAGGCCATAAGAGTAGTATTTCATAATAGAATACTACTAGTATTTCTTTGCTGACTAAGGATTCTGTCTTTGAAATGAACTAAGATTTGGCCTCGATTTTGAAAACTAGGTAGACATGCTACTGGTGGATTGTTAATACAGAAAATGTCCCACTCCCCACCTATCTATTTTTGAAATATCTTTGTATTTTTGGGATCCAAATATTTGGTGTACTATTTTCTGCAATATTGCCAACATGTGCAAGATGTGCTTCTCACACTTTTTTCTCAAATTTCTCAGGTTCTCTTATCATCTTTATTTTCCTTATTAGGAAGTTAGTGATGAAAGTATATCAGAGGGCAAGAGCTTATGTATCATGCTTACTATCCTTATGTCCTTTTATATGAACTATGATTTTGTTGTTATGCTCTATTTTCACTAACTTTTGTTTCTTTTTCTATACTGCTAGAGGATTGAAGTTATGATGGAAAAGTTTGTATAGTAGTGCTGAATCCAATTCTCTTCAAGCAAGTCTCAACCATGCAACATCCTACAGTGATAGCCTTTCTGGCTGCTTCTCTCCTCATTGCAAGCATTCCACATGCCAAAAGTGCTGATCTGAACTCTGACAAACAGGCTCTTCTCGCATTTGCTGCGTCACTGCCTCATGGCAGGAAGCTCAACTGGAGCTCCACCACACCTGTCTGCACTTCTTGGGTGGGGGTGACATGCACGCCAGATAAGAGCCGTGTACATACACTGCGCCTACCTGCTGTAGGACTTTTTGGTCCAATACCATCAGACACTCTTGGGAAGCTTGATGCCCTGGAGGTATTGAGCCTTAGGTCAAATCGCCTTACTGTCGACCTCCCTCCTGATGTAGGATCTATTCCTGCCCTCCATTCCCTCTACCTTCAGCATAATAACCTGTCTGGAATCATACCAACTTCCCTCTCTTCCAGCTTAACATTCTTAGATCTGTCATACAACACTTTCGATGGAGAAATCCCATTGAAAGTGCAAAACCTTACTCAACTTACTGCATTGCTTCTCCAGAACAACTCACTTTCTGGACCCATTCCTGACCTCCAACTTCCCAAATTGAGACATTTGAATTTGAGCAACAATAACCTCAGTGGGCCAATACCACCTTCCTTGCAGAGGTTTCCATCAAGTTCCTTCTTAGGGAATGCTTTTCTGTGCGGGTTTCCTTTGGAACCATGTTTTGGAACCGCACCTACTCCTTCTCCAGTATCACCACCACCACCCAATAAGACCAGGAAGAGCTTCTGGAAAAAGATCAGGACTGGTGTGATAATTGCAATTGCTGCTGTTGGAGGGGCATTGTTGCTTGTTTTGATTCTCACGCTCTTGATATGTATTTTCAAGAGAAAGAGACACACTGAACCTACCACAGCTTCGTCCAAAGGAAAGGCTATTGCAGGTGGCAGGGCAGAAAATCCTAAGGAAGACTACAGCAGTGGTGTTCAGGAAGCAGAGAGGAATAAATTGGTTTTCTTTGAGGGCAGTTCATATAATTTTGACTTGGAGGATTTGTTGAGAGCTTCTGCTGAAGTTCTTGGAAAAGGAAGTTATGGAACCACCTACAAAGCTGTTCTTGAGGATGGAACCACAGTTGTTGTCAAGAGATTGAAGGAAGTGGTGGTTAGCAAGAAGGATTTTGAACAGCAGATGGAGATAATTGGCAGGGTTGGCCAGCATCAAAATGTCGTTCCATTGCGGGCTTACTATTACTCCAAGGATGAGAAGCTGTTGGTGTTTGATTATGTCCCATCTGGTAGCCTTGCTGCTGTTTTGCATGGTATGCTCATTATTTTGCCACTTTGATTATTACTGATCAGAACTATTTCTTAATTTCTAACAGTTCAACTTGTTCCTCTTTTTTTATGCCAGGAAATAGACTAATACACACAGTTTTAAGGTTATTAAAGATTTGGCTAGAATAAAAAGAGAATCAATTTGACTTTTACTCAGTTAAACTGAATGCTACTAGTGGGTTTGGGACAGTGAACTTTTAATGCCTTAATGTAATTAGCAAATCTGGAATGATTCCTTTGGTAGGTATAGTTGTTATTTTTTAATCACCATCCAAACTTTTGCAATCAAATTGTTTCCCAAGAAAGAGAGTACTAAACATTATTACGCTTCTGTTTGAATTGTGCTCTTCAACCTTATCAACAGAAGAAATGGACTAAAGTGGTGTTCTGTAATCTGTGCTAGAGCTGCCACTAAACCTGTGTCGAACCTATGTGTTACCTCTTCTTTTGATCATATGAGAACTACTGTTTTTTCTTCTGCTAAGAAAGAATCGACTAAACTTATCACCATTTATCCTAGCTACCTACCTTGTCGTTTTCCTTTTAAATCCATGAGTTGGAAAATGCATGTAATTAGCATTCACTGTAAGTGTATCAATAAGATTCAGGCATTTAGCATTATGTTTTGAATTTAATTTATGCCAGAAACATCATTCTTTGTTGACAAGAATTTGTATATTTTTTATGGCTTGTGAAATGAAATGACGCTGTTGCGTTTCACTGTAACTACTTTCAGGGAATAAAGCTGCTGGAAGAGCTCCATTGAACTGGGAGACAAGAGTCAAGATATCTCTGGATGTAGCCCGTGGTATTGCCCATCTTCATACTGAGGGAGGAGGGAAGTTCATCCATGGCAACATCAAAGCATCGAATGTCCTTCTCTCACAGAATCTCGACGGTTGTGTCTCTGAGTTTGGCTTGGCACAGATCATGACCACTCCACAGACCCCGCCACGGCTTGTTGGATACCGAGCACCAGAAGTCCTCGAGACTAAAAAATCAACTCAGAAGTCCGATGTCTACAGCTTTGGTGTCTTGCTCCTTGAAATGCTAACTGGAAAAGCCCCTCTTAGATCCCCCGGGCGCGAGGATTCCATAGAACACCTTCCAAGATGGGTGCAGTCCGTGGTTCGTGAAGAGTGGACCGCTGAGGTCTTCGACGTGGACTTGTTAAGGCATCCCAACGTCGAGGATGAGATGGTCCAGATGCTCCAGATCGCAATGGCATGTGTGGCCATTGCCCCCGAGCAGCGGCCTAAGATGGAGGAGGTGATCAGGAGGATCACGGAGATCCGGAATTCTTACTCTTCTGGGACAAGGACGCCCCTGGAGGACAAGCCAGAGACTGCACAAGCACCATGAGGGGGGGTACAGCATAGTTTAGCAAGAGATGGTAGCTAGGTTGCATAGTGAATTGCTTATAGAGCTTCAGCAAAGTTGATAGCCACCTGCATTCCCGATCGTTTCCAGTAAATCTGTTGTGTGTTTTCTTTTTTTTTTCTCTGATTCTAGTGATCTGATTGACAATCCATGCCATTGTATTGTTCAGTTAAATCAGTAGTTTTTCTGATTTTTCATAGGATAGTGTTGCTCTGTAATTTGACATAATCTCTGCAGCGTGATTAATGAATTGAGTTTCCCTTCTATTTCTGCCAGTCATCAGTCAGATTTCGCGGTGCTTGATTTGGTCTCCTTTTCCTGTTCGTTTTTCTTAGGTTTTTTTTGGGGGTCCACAGCTGCTGCTTGTTGGAAAGATCCAAACCAAAGGAACTTGTTGCCTGATCTGGTAGCTGGTGGTAGTAACTAGCCGCTTGCTGTTGCTGGCTTTACCGTCCTGTCAACCATACTGGTAGTAGCTACTAGCCAGCGACATGAGTGGATGACTCCCAGAGGTCTCATTTGCTAACCGGTTTGATAAGTTTCCAACCACTAGGGTACATCAAGATGTGATCTTGCCCGTCCGCCAATGGGGCTACACGAGAAGGCAGAAACGGACGTGCAAAAACAACTGGTCGCGGCGGGCGCAACTATTGCCAAACCAGGACGGCGGCTGCGCTGCCTCCACGGTCGACACTCGACACCCATACGCCTGCCGCCTGCCGCCTGCCGGCCGTGTCCGGCAACTAGCCGTCTAGCCCAACTAGTGGTTGCGCACAGCCGCAGCCGCAGGCCGCTGACGCCGAGCACAGGCTCGACACCCAGCCGCGTCACCTAGGCCGGCCCCCATGAGTCATGGTCCCCGCGTGCGCGTGCCGCGTGATTGCTGTAGCAGTGCGCGCCTTCACGCCAACGCCGGGCATCCGGCAGGCCCGTGGCGTGCGTTGGGGTTGGCGGCAGTCGTGATGGCATTCATGTCATGCGCGGGGGCGCAATTTCACGTGGCGGTCGTCGGACGCCGTGTGCACTCTGGCGAACCGCCGGCTACCTGTGCGGCTGTGCCTTTTCTCATAGCAGTAGCCAGTGGCGTACTAACCTTGTTAACGCTATGAAAAGTCTCTGATTGAGTTTGACATAAGCATGACCGACTGCAGTGTTTTGCGGGGCAATGCATCTATACCGACCAGATTTGATGTTCACTTCAGGCTTTGACCGGATTAAGAGGCACTAAATACAATCAGCTTGTTCATTTGTTTGGTTTTTTAAATAAAGCGTTTGGTCTTCAGTTTGTTGTGAGAGAAAACACGGTTGACCGTATCGATATAGTTTCTCCGATTTGGCCAATGATAAATGGCTAAATAAAATGTTAATGAAAATATTGGTCGACAAACATTATTCCACCTACTTTATAAAGCACAGATCATTATTAATTTATTATTGATAGAGACTAGAGAGCATGTTTGTTTCAGCTTGCAGATGCTAGATAATGAACTGTACCATTTGTTGCTCAAATAAACATCCAAATTACAATAACATCACTCTTAACATCCAAATTATCATTTTGAGTGTCTTTATAAAAAAAAAGTTATCATTGCTTGCATATGGTTCTTTTCCCCTAGATTCTATATGATGTAACACGAAAATTCTTGTCAAGCCACATGTTTCAGATGGTATTCCGGAATTACCCCCGGGCCACCTTGCATATTTCAGTTATCGGTTCACGACGCACCAACCGAAGCCAAAGGCCACCACCATTCCTTCCCCAACTCCGCAGGTTGCTCACCGCCCTCCCTCCGCGGCGGACGCGCCCCGATCCAGATCCAGGTATCCATCGGCCGCAGCTCCGCCTCCGTCCCTTATCCCTTAGGCGTCCTCATCGTCCCCGTTCCCCTTCCACCGTCGTCGATTGGGGATCCATCCAGGACTGGATTCGATCCCTTTTGTGTTTGGTTATTAGGAAGCCTAGATTGCTTCGGCGGACTGATTGTTTTGCTCTGTTCTGTAGAATATTTTCTCTGCTGTGAGCCCTGAAATCCAAATATTTCTTCCTGCGATCGGTGCTCCCTTAGTTTGTTGCCGATTTGCTTGTTGTGTGGCGTCGTGCTAATAATACCTGTTTGATTTTGCTATTTTGTGGGGTGGTCAAGTTCTGCTCCTGGGTTTAGCAGTAGCGGTGGTTGATCTGATGTCCGCAGATCGTGGTGTGCATGTGTTTCTTCGTGCTAGCATAATTCATGAAGCTAACTTTAAGATTTAAAATTGGCAGCCTTGTCGGTTCAATTGGTACCTGATTGATGTTTTATATGCTTCTAAGAGACGATGTCATGTCAAGATTTGGTATATCTGTGGATCCACCATGTAGATTTTAATGTTAATGTCTGGATTACTTAGGACGAGCAAGTACCTCAGTTGCCAAATAAATGCCTACTCCTTTACTTTCTTTTGTTTACTCATGCTGCTAGAGTGCCAGTTTAGTTTATCTAAGTAGCGTTAGTTTAAGATTTGTTTGAACTATTGTATTTGTCATCTACGACTGACTAGTCACAATATGCAAATGTGGTCGATGCAGGGGCTTATCATGGCATCGAAACGTATCCTCAAGGAATTAAAGGACCTGCAAAAGGACCCTCCAACATCATGCAGTGCAGGTATGAGCTCGATTTGCCAATTGACTTGTGAATGATGCCACATGGTTTGTATCTGAGCATTGATGCAGTTTGTTACATTTCTGGATACTAATTAAACTGTTGCAGGGTAGAAGCTCATAATAGAAAATCTTTGTGCTATAGAATTTTGTCGTGAACTACACGAGTAATTTTTTTCTGTCATAGATCCGTACTTTGAGTGAACCTAAATAAACTGGAAGTACTCATGGGTTTGGTTCTCTCAGCAATTCATTTTGAGATGTTTCGTTGGAAAATAAATTATGAATATCAATACTGCAGTTTGTCAGCTGGGATGCTATTTGTTGTAATCACAGATTTATCTATGCATACAAGTTTATTGCCATTCTTGCTCTGCGATACTGTGGAATGGTTGTTGATGTCTCATGTTGTAGTAGCTAACGTTAATGTTTGATTTTCAAAAAGCATCCAGAACAGAGCATCTTACTTTCACTGTTTAATTAGAAATCTAATTTAATGAGTCGTGAGCAATGATTTTATGTTTGCTCTCTTTTTGTGCTTATCTTGTACACACTTGAGTGTTCATGGATTATAGTTTTCTATTTACTTAGGTCCTGCTGGTGAGGATATGTTCCACTGGCAGGCAACCATCATGGGTCCTCCTGATAGTCCATATGCTGGAGGTGTTTTCTTAGTGAACATTCATTTCCCCCCGGACTACCCCTTCAAGCCTCCAAAGGTTAGCGTCACTTTATTCTAGAGTTCAATTTTCTGCTTTTTTTTTACAAAGCAATTTTCTGCTTTTTTGTTTTCTTTATGGGAGGATGAAAAGTGATGTTCTGTCAGTCTGTGAACGGGCCTCAGCTGAGTTGGTTAGGTGGCTCTAGTAGCACTCTTTAGGTCCGGGGTTCGACTCCACGTGGGAGCGAATTTCAGGTTGGGATTTGGGATTAAAAAATCCCCTCGTCTATCCCCACGGCAAAGCGGTTTAAGGCCCGACCCAGGTCATGGTCATTCTCACATGGACTAAGGTGCCGCTGTGTTTAGGTGGGGCAGGAGTTCGGGGGTTTTCTCAACCTGCGTGAGAAGGTCTTCTTGGCAAAAATGCCCGGGGGCTGTCTTACCCCCGCACAAGTCGAGTTTTTTTGTTCTGTCAGTCTCTTCTGTAATGTGTTATTGTGAAGAGGTGTTCATGCTATCAACTTACACGCTTGTAAATGTATCGGTGTTAATTCTTGTATGTATGATCGTCCCCAGATTTTGACATGCAGGGTCAACTAACCCTTCTATTTCTATGGTCTAAAAACCATTATTTCATTATTTTAGCAATTCCTTTCATTGTTGTTATGTTGCTTATTTTTCCGAATATCACCATATATACTTGGTGGCATTGAGCTTAAGGTCGATTTTGGATAGGTTCAAATTTTTGGGTCTGTTTCTTTTTGCATATAAAGTTTCTCTTTATGTTTTCTTCTGTTTCTGTTCACTACCATTGAACTATCTCCTTTTTAGGTATCTTTTAAGACGAAGGTCTTCCATCCAAACATCAATAGCAATGGAAGCATATGTCTCGACATTCTTAAGGAGCAGTGGAGCCCTGCTTTGACAATCTCTAAGGTGCTGACACAATTTAGTACTACTTTATCAGTATGACTTATGCACAGTAAATGATTAGCTTAAATGCACGCTGTCATGTTTATCTTTTTGATGTGTTAGCCCCTATACTCTTCATATTATAATTGAATGTTAATTTAGATGATATAGCTTCCTGCAATTTTGAAATGTCAATATTTGCCTCCTGGTAATAGTCTCTATATGTAGAAAATTAAATGATGTATTGCTGTTTATCCAGTCTAATGATTCAGAATAAAACTGATATATATAAGTTGTTCTTGTTTATGCTGTCAGCATGTTATGGGCTTATGGCAGAATATCAATTACATGCCATTCTTTTGGTTCAAAATTTACACGTCCAAAAAAATACCAGAGAAATTATTATATGTAGTTAGGCTGTGGAGTCTTGTTCTTATACACCTTTCACTACAGAACTGTCAGACAATAGTATGATTCTCTCCTCAAGCTCACCTAATCTACAACCGCCATTCAGGATCAGTCCGATTACTATATGTAGTATGGTATCCTCGAAATACTTGCATACTAATGTGTAGCTGCACCACTAACCACCTTTTTTTATGTTTTAGGTTTTGCTTTCTATCTGCTCCCTGCTTACTGATCCCAACCCAGACGACCCTCTTGTCCCCGAGATTGCTCACATGTACAAGACGGACCGGCAAAAGTATGAGGCGACAGCCCGCAGCTGGACCCAGAAGTATGCCATGGGATGAAATGAAATGAAGCCGAAACCCCATATTCGGCATTACTGCTTAAATGCAGACGATTGTGGTGTTGCCCCATGAAACTGTTTCTGGGGACGTATGTTCTTCCATTCCTTGTGGTCCGTGTGCATTCTCCGATCCATCTAGGATCGAGTCCTAGTCCAACATCAACCTACCATTGCCGTCGATAATGAGATGGCTTATGCTTGCTGTGATAACTATGCTAGTGTTGATGTTATTCGATAATTGATTCTCGTTGAGGGCTTGTTCAGGGATTGGAGGGGATGAAAGGGATTTTTGACTTGTAGGGTAGCTCTGCTTCCCATGGCCTGCTCTAGGGGCCCTGCGGCAGCCAGCCGAGGTCATGCTGTGCCCTCGATTGCTTCCCTTCTGGACTCACGTCTGTGTCTTACATACTCCCTGTGTCCACCAAAAATAATACAATTCTCGTTTCTCGATGAGTAAAGAGTTTAAACTTGACTAAATTTATATGAAAAGGTATCAACATTCATGTTACAAAACAAGTATCATTAGATTAGTTATAGAATATATTTTTATAATAAAATTGTATGGAGACAAATGCTAATAATATTTAGGAAAAAAGTCTACTTTGCCTTCCTCAACTATCACAAAAGTTAGTTTTTCCTCCCTTAACTAGAAAACTGGACATATTTTCTCCTCCATCTTTTCAAACCGGACAAATGACCTCCTCTAGGTGTTTTTTTTTCCTTTTTCTTTTATATTTATTTAAGCTTAATCTTTGAAAAATCATACTAAATTACAGAAAAATCATAAAATGGAAAAATCTAAATTTGTACAAAATCATATGATATGGTATGCTTTAGTATAAATTTTTTGCTCTAGCTTTAGATCTATGTTTTTTTTGTGATTAATTCATAGCTACAGTTCTGTGGTCCTAATGTGGTGAATTTTTATGGTGAACTAATCATTGTACAACTGAGACGTAAAAATTTCATGCCCATTGGATCATATATGACTGAGTTATATTTTTTTTTCAGATTTATGCTTATTAAATAGTTAAAAGTGTGTAAAAATTGAAAATGTGTGTATGGTCAGTTATATTTTTTGCGATTTACGAGCCGAATAGTTAAAAGTATGCGTGTGCTTTGGCATTGTCTCTCTTTGTCTTGGCGGGCGGCGATGGCGTTGGCTCATCCGCACGCCAGCAATGGTGGCGGCGACGAGGAAGAAGATGATTATTTTCAAAATAGTCCCTCTTGTGAAATTTGTAAATATTTGTGTGATTTACGTGTCTAGACGATTTCGTTTATAACTCCGGCTAATATTTTAATTTAAGCAATTAAGTCTTATCTCTGCTCACGGGTACAAATCCATACCCGTTTAGATGAATATGAGATCTAAACAGAGTTTAAAGACCGGAATGACACATGATACACTCGCACAAATTCGAGGACCGCCCATGGACTTTACTCTAATATCTACTAGCATCTTATATAATTATAAGAGTAAAATGCACCGGAGGTCCATTAACTTTTGAGGGGGTGTTATTCCGGTCCATTAACTTTTAAACTGTATTTTTAGGTCCTTAAACTTTTTAAGTGGCACCAGACATCCATACCCCTTCGTTTATATTTGTATTTTGCATAAACATCCTTTTGTTTATTTTTCTTTCACACCTTTACCCTTCTCCGTCTTCTGAACGCACGGTGTTGGCGGGAGAGCGCAGCAAGCATGCACGAGGGCCTGCAGACTGCAGTGCGCTACCGTCTGTGGACTATGGATGTGGGTAGAGATGCGAGCACCACGAGCTAGCGAACGACTGTGGGTGTGCGCTATCATCTGCAGGGCTCCATGAAGATGGCGATGCGGTGGGGCGCGGCCTGGACTCCAACGAACGCCTCATCTTGGGCAGTTGGGCTCTGACGACGCGCCACCATCTCCGTTCAGCACGCGCCAGTGATAAGGTGGCGGATAAGGTGCGCTTGTTCTGCGCGAGCTCATCGAAGTAGCTTCCCGCCTGGCTGCGGCAGTTTCGCGTCGCCAACGTCCTTGTACATGCGGCTCACGACGATGGCAGCTTCTTACCCACCTGCACGCCCACCGCGGAGGCGAGCAAAGTCTGCCTCGACGCTCTGCTCGCCATTACCCATGTGCTCACGGTGGATACATGAAGAGGGTAACCATGTGACACATGACAAAACAGAAACAGAAGGAGATTTTTGTAAAATACAAACATAAAACTTGGGTATGGCCAGGGGGGTCCGCCGATGGGTCCTGGCCGTGGGCCGAAAGTTTAGGGCGATCTCCTGCTCCGCCCGATACATTTTCTTGAGAGTTGATGGATCCCGCTGACGACTTCCTCAAAAAAGCAATAGACCGTCGCCGGCAGTGTATTTTACTCTAATTATAAGCATTAGGTATTTCTGGCTACTTTTAGTCTATTTTGTTCATTTTTCTGGCCGGGTTGATTACGCCCTTGCCTACCATCTAGTTCAACCAGTCACAGCACACCGCTTAAAAAAATTCGAAGAGGTGCCCCCACGCGCATTAATCACGGGGAGGGCGATTTGAATATTTAGGCCAGTGACAATTAGGCGGATAAGGTACTTTTCTGCGCGTGCTCATCGAAGTAGCATCCGCCTGGCTGCGGCAGTTTCCTGCCCACGGCTTAAAAGTCTAGGGAGAAAATAAACACAGTCTGACGTCGATGTCAATTGTCAAAGATGATGTGAACCCAAGTGAACAAACGGGTATTCACAGAAGTACAGTAGATGCGCTTAAAGTCTAGGGCCGCGTTTAGTTCATCAGCCGATTTAGCCGCAAAAAAAAGATGTATTGTAGCTACATGATACTTTTTCAAAAATTAATGGACATAATAATTTTACTCTCGTTAATAAGCATTAGGCTTTCTAAACGTTTAGTCTATTTTGTTCATTTTATTATTGCCTATCATCTAGTTCATCCTCACATTTTTCGTCAAAATTTAAGTACTCCATAAATTAGTCTTAATTTATGTATTTAGTTTTGTAATTAGTCTATATTTAATACTTCATATATATATATATATATATATATATATATGGATCAACTAAAACGAGGCCTAGGTCTAGGAGAAAATAAACACAGCCTGACGTCGATGTCAATTGTCAAGCGATGTGAACCCAAGTGAACAAACGGGTATTCACAGAAGTACAGTAGATGCGCGCATACGAGGAGGTTTGTTCCTGAATTTCCAGTCCCGCCCGTCAGCCCTTGTCACCTTGCACACGCTTCCGAGGTTGCTGCCTTTCTGGGTGCCAATGGCTTTCCAGTCTCATCGGACACCTCTGACATCTCACTAATCCTCGTCAATTGCATCGGCTGGAGCCCGCGGGAGGGTGTTTCGCAAAGCAAGGATACTTCGATTCTTCCCTTCATGTCTTCGATAGTAAACTTGTGCGATAGCTACGAGGCACCGTCGGCGACACGTGAGAAGTAAGGTTGATAGAAATTCTGGAATCTTTAGTATAGATTAGTGGGTAAAAACAAACTTAGAAAGAAGATTTGGTGATGTATCTTACCATGGCACGGTGCGACGCGCCTCTAGTGTCGGAGTAGAGGGAGCATCGTAGTGGTGGCGCGGTCCAGTGACAGCGGTGAAGGCCGGTGGAGCTTCCCGTCGTTCATAGCGCTCCCTCTAGATCGGATTAGGGTTAGACTCGGTGGGGAACTGATGGCTGCGGTGAACCTCGTATCTCAAGCCCTAGCTCTCACCTCCTTTAGATAGCGCTGCGCGACGGGGGCCCACCAGCCTGAAAGCGGCTGAGCGCCCCTATCAGGGCGTAAGAAGGGCCTAATTGGTCGTTGGGCTTAATTGGTGGAGATCAACCTAACATTCTTTCTCCTTGATCTCACCTTATGTCTTATACTTAACTTATTTTATATTTTTCTCATTTCATCACAGATGCAGTGCATAGAGCGTGCTTTATCGTCACAGTCAGTTGCCATTAGATTTAACAGCTACAATGTACCTCTCTATTTTGAAACAGATTCTTAACTAAGCACTTAGTATCCAGAAATCATAGGCTTTCTCGTAAACCCATGTCGACTGTGTGTTCTCTGAACGCACTAGGTGATTAGCCTTTGGTAAGCGCATCTGCAAGTACTTGCTTGGTACTCATATGCTCTATGCTTTCAAAATAATTCTGGATTTTCTCCTTTACAACATATAACTCAATGTCAATGTGTTTGACAGCACACTTGACATGTTGTCTTAGGAGTTAACTACTTTAAATGGTTATTGCTGTTGACTACCATTGTTAAATCCGGGTACCAATTCTCTTAATCTCTTTTTGCCTGTTCCTTAAGTCTCGTGTGAAGCTATACTATGGTATGCATCACTGATGACACCATAACTGTTTCTTTGGAGCTTTTCCACAATAATACTCCAACTATGAGTGTTAGCAACTACTGTGGATTTCACTGCATATCTCGTCAAGACTTAACATTTATACCATCAACTACTTAAGAGTACTTATTCTTTCTTACTCAGCATGAGGCCTATGATACTTTGCAAAAATTATAAGACATTCTTAACTACATTCCAGTGATCTATATCTGGACTTGACTTCTACCAAAATATCTCGGATACGTAAACTACGTCAAGGTAAGTTCTTACTTGTACATTCATTAAGCTTCCAACAACTGAAGCATATGGAACCATATTTATTTGATCGATCTCATATCGGTTTTTAGAACACTGAAAGTTCCCAAATCTATTACCCCTATAAGAGCATGCGTAGGTTTACTCGTGTGCATACTTTATTTTTTAGAATCTTTTCTAAGTATGCCTTTGCGATAGTCCTAATACCCATTTTTATTTATCTTGGTGAATTTTAATTCTTAGAAACTGATATTTTATCAAGATCATTCATATTGAAACTTGAGGACAAGAACTTCTTCTCCAATGGTAGATTAACATCACTACTAGTGAGTAGGACGTCATCTAGACACAAGATGTGGAAAATGAATGTTTTATTCTTGAACTT